AGCTCTCATTATAAAATTGAGTGAGAATCTTGAATTATTAATAAAGAATGGTCTAATGAAGCTTACTGTTGGATACTGCACAATATGGAAGAAACAAAAGATACAAGTATGTGTATATATACTGTCAGTAATTATCATTATATATTGTATTATATAAAGGAAATACAAGAACCACTGGAAGAGAAAAGTACCGGAGATAAAGGAACAACCTCATGATACAAAGGTATAATAAATTGTATTTGATTATTTTATTAAACTAACTTAATAGGAAGAGAGAGTAGCAAGACTGGAGGAGAAAGAAACAGAAGGAGCAGCACCTCAATCAGTAATTAATCAAGGTATAATAATACATTAATGTAATAGTTGTTGACCAGTATTATTAATTGATGGATAATTATTATATTTCAGATATACTATCAAGAGTGACAATAATTAATAGACGATTAATAAAAGAAATAAAAACAAATAAACAATTAGAAGAAACACTAACAAGTAAGTATAATAAAACTTTATTAATTATAATTGAAATAATGTAGAAATGAGAGTAAAGGAAAATCAACATTTTCTGTCATTACCAAGAAATACTAGTTCAGGTTAGAATTATCATCATCATCATTATTATTATTATTATTATTATTACCGTGGGTGCGTTAATATTTTTGAGTGCTTTATATTTTGCGGATTTAATTTTTACGAATTTATGCCATCTGCCATTCTGTACCGTATTCATTTGATTTTTGCTAATTAAAAGTAATTTTCACAAATCTTAAAAATCACAAATTTGCAAAATTTATAGCCCTCGAAAAAAGGTGCCCTATGTCATTATTTTTTAAATTATTATTATTGTTGTTGTTGTTGTTTTATTATTTATCATTTACAGCATCATACAGAATCAGAAGAGGAATGAGAATGGAAATAGAACAATTGCAGTTATTATTAACAAATGCAACTGGTACTGAATCATAATGTATGTGATAGTGTATTATTATTATATACTATGATAGGTTTACTAGATCAGAATGAATCATTAATTGATATTAACAGAGAAATAGCTAAACTGCAACAACAAATATCAGTAATGAGTGTACATATACTAAATAAAAGAGAAGAGAATGAAAAGTATAGGAATATAATAAGAAGTATGTATCATTATTTCATTAACTGATTGATATATTGTATCACTAGTATATAGGGAATAAACCAACAGCAGAAAATGTTTTTATTGCTCATTATGACTATCATGCAACAACAAATAGTCAAATATCATTCAGTGAGGGAGAGCAGCTGGAGATATATGAGAAGGAGAGTAGTTATTGGTGGAAAGGAAGATCTTTGGTGTCTGGTGATGAGGGAGTCATTCCTAGTAGTTTTGTTTACTCAATGTTGGAGTCACTTCAATTGTTAAGAGTTTATACTGTCAGTGGAAGAAGTGTTCCTTCCTATTCTACAGAAGATAAGGAATGATTCATCTAGTAATGATGAGAAAGCT